TGTGTGTGTGTGTGTGTGTGTGTGTGTGTGTGTGTGTGTATGTGTAGTTTCGTCCTCATCCTGTAACCCCCACTTCCATTTCACCTGTGGCAATCCTAGTGCCTTGGCTTCCTCTATGCTAAGATGATCGGTCTGAGCCACCATGCCTGGCTTTCTGTTTTTTAAATATTAGAAGTTTAAAATTTCAGTTACAATGTGATTTATTACACGTTTTCTTCTGTATCAGTTTTTCCATGTGCAGATTATACAGTCGTCAGAAGTACCGGACGTGACTGAACCCACTCGACAGAATGAGAGTTGTGTCTACTCAGCACGGAAGGCAAGTCTAAGGCAAGCTTTGTGATGTTGTTAATTGGCTGGGGCCGCTGATGTCCTGTCCAGCTTCGTCGGTCCTCTCAGGCCATGCGTTCTCTGCCCATGCTTCTCATCTTGCTCCTGTAACATCCTTTTGGGATTGATAAGTCCCTGTATCTATCCTTGAATACTTCGGAAAAGTTCTCGGACTCCGAGCTCTCTGAAAACGCACATTTGATTGAGTTTTCTGTTTTAAGCGTTTAGCACAGTGCTTGGCAAATAGGAGCCCTTCTGTTCCTCCGGAGCCTTCATCAATTATAGTTTATAGCTTTAACTATCCCTGACCTTATTTGCATAGCTCTGCTCAAAGTTCCGTACTGCAGCTTCTAATGTATGTTTGGAAATCGTATTGCCAGATGGTCCCAACAGAAATACCAGGATCATTTGAGAAAAAGATGACCATAAGCCAAAAATACACTTGCCAGGAACAGTTGTTTTGATGACAATCCACATTATATCTTACAATTTACATTATATAGTTTTAAGTAAAAATTGATTGTTTCAAGAGCACCCTTTTGTCCCTACTGAATACTATATTCAAAAGAGCACGACTTGGGAGTTAACATCTACTGAGCTGTGTTAATTGGTTTGTGTATTAACTATGACCACCACTGACGTCGTCGTCATCGGGGAGCTACTTTGAAGTTCATTTTAGGATACTTTTCTGAGACTTATGTAAGTCAGGACAGGGTTTTACCACCGAATTCATATTTTCCAGTGAATTTTAATGCTTACATATCTTTATATGTATGTTAGCTAATAATAAATGCATTGCTCCCGACTCCTGGGGCTTAAGGCACAGTTAGCATGCCTTACCTCTTCTGGGTGCTGGCTGTTCTTTTTGTGAATCAGGAAGAGGCGTGGCCGAGGCTCTGCACCAGGACGCTCATGCCTTGGAGTCTCTTGTCCACTGGACCAGCAGCCATCAGCCATGTGAAGATTTACCACGCTGGGCCAGCCACCTGCATGGTGGCCCACTCACCGTGTTCTTGACAATCCAATTAGGCAATCATTATTATTTAATTTGCAGATCAGAAACTGAAAAGGAGTTTGCGCAGGTCATTACTCCAAGGAAGCTTAAGCTTGAATTGAAGCAATTAACTCTGAAGTGTGTGTTTCCTGTTCTTTGTGTATGAGACAGGGGCTTGCTATGTAATCTAGGCCAAACTTGAACTCATTATACTGCTGGCCTCATACTTACGCTTAAGTCTGGGATTTCGGGTATGTGTTTGTACTCTTAAAATTAAACTAATTTTAATTTTATTTTCTATTTATTCAAATAAAATGCTTTTTCCTGAGTTTTTCATATATATTTTTTAATTTTAGTATTACTATTTTTAGGGGTTAATTTTTAAGTTGCATTTTTTATTTTGGGGTGTGTGTATGTTAGGGTGCACACGTGGAGGTCAGAGGACAACCTGCCGGTGTTCTCTCCTTCTCCCACGTGGGTCCTGGAAATCAAACGCAAGTTGTCCTGCCTGTGAGCAGGTTCCTTGATCCTCTGAGCCGTTATACTGGCCCTCCATCTTCATCTTATTACTTTAAAGTGTTATTTCACTTTAAAGTGTGTGTGTGTGTGTGCGCGCGCGCGTGCGTTCATACTTGTCTGTGTGTGCAACATGTGTACAGTGGCAGTGAGGGTCAGAACAGAGCACTGTTTCCCCTGAACTGGAATTCCAGGCACGTGTGAACCCTGGTTCCCCCTCCAGAGCAGCAAGTGCTCTTCACTGCCGAGTTAGTTCTCTCTCCAGCCTTTGTTTCATTATTTTTGAGTGTAGAATCAAGTAGACAGACTAACTTTATCAGACGACACGCACTCAACCCTCAACTACCGATTCGTGCTTCTTCCCGTCTCCTCCATCTTTGTCTCCTTTATTATTTTGAAGGAAATCTCAGACATACAATTTTACCTGTGAATATTTAAGTATGACTCTCTAAAGATAAGGCCTTTTAAAATGTAAATACCATCAAGCAAAAATTACTTTTTGTCATCAATATATTAACCTTCAACTTTCCATTATTTCATGTATGTGCATTAAAAGATCTTGATTTGAATTATGACTTGATGTCACTCCTATGATTAGTTAGTTTTTGATTTTATTTGAATGGATGCTTTTCCTCCTCCCCTTCCTTCCTCCATGGTCCGAGAACACGGATTTCCAGGGTTTGTTTGCCCTGAACATAGCCTCACCGTATCTCCTTGTCCTTATCTTTTTGAAAACTGACCTCCATGATTTTATCCACTTGTGGTGGCTTTTTGTAATACTGATTTTTAAGAAATTTAAAGCCTTTAATGGTCAAAAAAACCCTTATTTTCTGATACATTGTTACAAATATGTTGTCCAGTTTATTGTTCATTTCTTAATATTTTGGGGTTTTTTGACACAAAAGTTAAACATTTATGTCCATTCAAGTTTATTAAATTTCTCTGCTATAAATTTTGGATTTGATACCTTGATTGGAAGAGCTGTTCGTCTGCCCATATTAGTTAAAACGATCATATATTTCTAATATTGTTATTGTTTAATTATTTTCGTCTTTCATTGATTTTATTTCACTATATCCAGTTATATTTTTTCTAACACTTGACAATAATTCTTCTGTCTTCCTTAAAGACCTGAAAACGCCGGTTTGTCACGCTGTGACGTCCCACCGGGCCCCGTCCTCCTGTCATTTGTTGTAGCATGGGGACACAAATGACAAACACGCTTTTGTTTTAAAACAAACCAAAAAATTCCAACCACCATTTTCAAGAATGAGGCAACAGAAGGTGGTTAGGTTTACAAAGCTGACTGGACTCACAGTGTGAATTTTTGTCAAGATGACCTTGTAGATTCCTTCTGTCACAGGAAAATAGGTACTGTCCGGAGGAGTGTCCAGGGTCACTCTTGCTGTGATGAGACACCATGACCAAGGCTGCTTACAAAAGAAAGCATTTAATCGGAGGCTTGCTTGCAGTGTTGGAGGATTAGTCTAGGACCATCATGCAGGGAGCAAGGCAGGTAGGCAGGGCCCTGGAGCTTATGTCCTGATCTGAAGAGAGAAGGCAGAAAGAGAGACAGACTCTGGGCCTGGCCGGGGCTTGTGAAACCTGAAAGCACATCTCCCACCCCCCACCCCCCCCCAGTGACACACCTTCAAAAAGGTCACACTTTTAAACCATACGCCAACTGGGAAAACATTCAAATACACCGTGCAGTTCTCCTGTGGGGCCACTCTCATTCAAACCAGCCCAATGCCCACTGCCTACTCCGGGCACCTTGCACTTCTAAGCAACGTTTGGGTTTGATAATTCCTTAAGGTTGCAAAGTGGTAATATTCCTATATTCTGACATTCTATTGTTATTTCTTCCTTTATCAGCTAGCCAAAAATAATGGTAAACAGAGAGGCACTTGCATCTGACATTTGGGTACCCAGCAGTCTGGTCCGGTTTATGCAGAAAAGGTCGAACAAATGCTGCCGGGTTATGTTCCTTTAACTGCCACTTTTCAGAGTCCTGACTTAGTGTGTTGAGATGTCAACCTTACCCGATACCTAAAGCATCAGAGAACCGTGTGCCAGTGTCAATCATTAGAGCTGTTCTCGTTACAATGCTGAGATTATGTTATTGCTATGATGCCCATTTTTGGCCAATGAAAATGCTCATAAATTGGTCCAGAGTTGTGTGAAACAGCTTTCCTAGTCTTTGGAGTGGATTTTTCTGTTCTCTAATTTAGTATGATAAAATGTCTCAGATCTATCTTGTGTATTTTCCTGTTAGCCTCGGGCCGAGACTCTTTTCCAAGGGTGCTGTAGCAAATCGGTGAACTTACAGTGCTTCGGTGAGCTGCTGTAACTTTCTGCATAAAGCACAGCGGCAGCTGACATCCACTGACAGGAACTGAAGAGCAGGTACAAACAAGTCCAGGGGCTGTCACAACCCCATGCAGCATGCAACCCCCAGGCTAGACTTCTGCAGCTGCAGGATGAAGAGCAAGTGCCTGCTGAAATGGGGAGCAGGAAGTGAGGGCGGTCTGCCCTGCTGGATTCCTAATTTTAGGCAACTGTGCAGTTCTCCATGGATAATCATATCCTACCAGTAGTATTGTTGAAGAATGAAGTAAAAGCCTCTTAAATTCATGTGCATTAGTTTCTCAAGTGGCAACTAAGTTATTGGGAAGTACTAGTTAGCTGTTGGGCTTAACTTCTCAGTAAATGAAAGTCTGGGGGGTATTTAATTTTCTTTTTGTCTTGGAGTATCATGAGGACATTATGAGGTGGGAAATTTGACAGCTTCTGGATCAGGTTCCTTTGTTTACATCTGGGTGTGGCTGAGTCAGGGCTCACATAAGAGGTCACCACAGCCATTTCCTAATTCCCTTCTCCTTGCCCCATTAGTGCCACCCCGAGTCCATGTTTGCTTGGTGGAAACTCTTTTAATTCACTTGTCCAAAATTTAGGGGTTTGTTTGGTTACAACAAGATAACCTAGTCAGGTCACCTTTACCTATGCTAGCGAACTCTCTCTGGTGTCTCGTGTGTGCTGCTGCATCCACTGGCAGGGGCTGATTTCCTTATTCAAAAGCTGCATCAGCGAATCTAATTTTAGATGAGCTTGGCTGTGCTACCAGGCACAGGTTAACTACGATGCATTACAATATGCTGAGGGCGAGTGGGCAAGTATGGGACCCTCTGCCAGCTTCCTGTTCTGCCCGCCTTCCCTCAAGACACATTAGGAATTTAATGTGTACAAGGCCACTCCACACACAGAAGGAGGCAGTGTGCCAGGGTCAATTGGCACATGAAATAATAATAAAGCTCAACCACTTGGTTATTTATCTTTTAATAGAATAGGAATGGAAATAACAGTTCCGTTCTTCTTCTTATTTATTTTTTTTAAACTCCCAGACTGTGTTCTTCTCTTTGGAGACCACTGTCCCCAGCACATCAGTTACTGAGCAATTATGTTTTCCTTGCTCCTCTTCCCGAGAAGCCTGTAACCCTATCCTTGCCTTAGGTGAGACAGCCCAGGCCAGGTCTGCACCATCTCCAGTGCAAAGTAAGCATGAGAAAGCCTATCCCACCCTTTGCTCAGAAATCAGGTGCTCGGGGTTGGAGAATCAGCTCAGTTGTTAAGAGCACTTGCTGCTTTTCCAAGGACCTGGGTTCAATACCTAGCATGGATCCCCCCCCAGTTTGAGGGGATCCAATGCTCTTTTGTGTCCTCCTCAGGGACCAGGCATGAAAGTGGTGCTTAGATGTCCATACAGGGAAAACATCTATACATATAAAATAAGATAAAAATACAAAATTTACAAAAAAAGAAATTAGTGAGAAAGTCTGCATTTTTCAATTTTCAAAAAACTATAAATTCGGGGGGAACAGAATGCATCTGGGAACTAATGGGTAGTTTTTGTTTATCTGGGTTTGTTCTGTATCCCAAGCATCCCTCTGCTTCACTCAGTCAGTGTCCTTCAAGGCATTCATTGGCTACAAACATGGCCAGATACAGAAGAGTCAGGAGAAAAGAACATGTCACCTAGGTCAGTAAATACATGTACAAATCCGAGTGGACCCACATTGCAATAGCCTGGCTTTTATAGCTTTACCTGGTCTCTTGAGAGAGAAAATGCTCCCAACCTCTCAAGACTCCCTATCTCCATCGACTACCAAGCATCAGAGGAATGCTTACATGTAAAGCTGAAGTGTGGGGAAACACCCCCACCCCACCTCTCCTATGTGGAGAAGAGATAGAAAAATACGAGGAAAGATTTTCAAGAAGTACATCTTAGTGTTTCTTTCTTAGATGGACTTGGCTCCACATAAAACTCAGAGGATCCTATAGGAAAGACCCAGGAGTCCCTTTCAAAGGTGTGGTTCAGGGGCCTGTTAGCTTCCGGGCGATAAACTGGCTTGCTTAGTGAACCAGCAATGCATAGGTAAGTATTCTTGCAGGCAGCTTCATGTGCCCATGGGCAAGTGTTTCATATCTTTGAGGAGAGTCAGGATGCCTGAGGGTGAGAGGATCGGAAAAGGCATCATGATGGGCAAGGCGAGCACCCAGAGTGCATGGAGCAACCAGTTGATGGTGGTGACACAGACTTCACTGTTGGTCACCTCTGCCGCCTCGTTGCCATCGTCTTTGATGACAATGGACCAGGTAGGTACCCTGCCCCCTGTAGCCTTCGACTCTATATATGTCCAACAAGAACAGTGCCGTGGGCCCCAGGGGAAAGTAAGGAAAGCGTGCAACCTTCAAATGACTAAACTTAAACCACGAAAAGCAAAATTGGCCTCATCCGATTTGCATTTTTAGTTCCTGCAAAG